GACACGGACATAAGACGGTGTGGCAGCGAGAAACTGATGGACCCTTGGTAACAAATGAGCCCTGAGAACAAAGAGCAGAGAGCAGCCTGAACTGACTTTGGGGAAATCTGGGAGCAAGCTGATGTGCCTGGCATATCCCCTAAGAAATCGGGGAGACCAGGTAGCTCAGAGCACAGGAATGAGGAAACAAGGGGGAAATCCACAGGCTGGTGACCTTTGAGACAGCAAACAGAGCCCTGTAACTTATCTGCCCACCCCTCCTTTGCTCTCCCCCAGAAGGGCACTGGAGGTCTGGTGTCCAAGAGGAAGAAAGTGCAGGGGTCCCACACTGAAGATGGGGGCAGGGAGGAGTAGGTGCTCGGCACTCAGGCATCCAGCCTCTGCTTGCACCTGGCTCCCCAAATGCTGGCAGCTGGTGCACCCCATGCCTGCAAACAGCTGCACGAGCTTTTCCTGGGCACCTGACCATTGAGAGCAGTGGTTCTCAACCTTCCTCATGCACAACCCTTTCATAAAGCTCGTCGTGTGGTGGCGACCCCCCTCCCACCCCAACCATAACATTCTGTTCATTGCTACTTCATCACTGTCATTTTGCTACTGTTAGGCAACCCCTGTGAAAGGGTCATTCCACACCACCACCACCCCCAAAGGGGGTCGCGACCCACAGGTTGAGAACTGTATATTTAGAGAGAGGAGAAATTCAGGGGAGTGTGGTCAAGTCAGGTGATCCCCCTCTGTGAAGCAAGTCGTGTCCTCTGAGCCCTGGCTTGTCCTCAGAACTTTGAACTTACTGCTCACCAGTACAATCCAGTTGCTGTAGATTCCACTCCAACTTAGCGGGGACCCAGATCTGTGCATCAGAACAGCACTCGGGACCATTTTCAGTGGCTGGCTTTCCATGAGATCAAAACTCAGAAACCAATGCCAGCTCAGAATGACTCGGTGGGACACGGGGACTGCCCTGGTGACGTTCCGAGACTGGCACCTTTCTGGGGGTAGAAAGCCCCGGCCCTTCTCCCCCGGAGCTGGACGGCAGCTCCTCACTGCAGACCTAGTGGCTCACAGCCCAGGGCTGTCACCGCGACACCACCACAAGGCGCCTTCCAAGGATGGACTCAAGTCACCACCTTTCAGCTGGCAGCCGAGCTCTTAAACACCTGCCCCACCCAGGGGCACTATCTCTTTTTAAACCCAGAGGAAAAAACACAGCCCTGGACTCTGTCCTGACTCCAGAGAGGGCTGCCCCACAAGGCGGTACGCCTTTCTCTCGTGGGGTGTCTGGTGGGTTCACCCTGCCTCATTGGGGGTTAGCAGCGGAACCCTGAGCCTCTGTGCCATCAACGCTTCAACATACTGGTAAACTCAAAACTCACTGCCATCCAGTGGATTCTGACTCCCAGCAACCCTCTGGGGCAGATCAGAACTGCCCTTGCGTGTCTCCAGGGCTGTAGCTCTTTGCGGGTGCAGAAGCTCCATCGTCCTTCTGCAGGGATGCTGGAGGGTCAGCAGCCCAGGGCACCAGGGCGCCGCACATCTGAGCCAGCAGCCATGATGCAAGCTCCTGAGAAAAGCTCCCACAATGGAAGAGAGACCGGAAGAAAAGGAAAGTGCAACTTGAACGAAGCAGACCACATAGGAAGCAGAGGTGGCTTTGTTGAAAACATTCATAACCTGGGAGAATCCGGAGCTGACATTGCCTGGAGGCTGCAGACCAAGATGGTTATAAAGAGAAGGAGGATACATTCTGAGAAGAAGCTAGCTCTCAGACAATAAAAGACTAGACATGAAAACTCAGTGGGAAAGATGGAAAGAAAACTCCCCCAGAAAGTAGAGGTGGGGGGAGACAAAGATGCATGACTGGCGATAATGGGTCATAAAATTAGGAAACATGTCAAGTAAGTCAAGCATCAAATGTTCAAGAGAAAAAGAGACGTGCAAGAGGAAAATAGAGCGGGAAAACAAAACTTTATTTCAAGATAATTCCACAGAGCTACCCGGTGTTTTACATTAAAAATATCCACAGAGAGTCCTACATAATCAATGTAAATACAGAGACCAGGCGTCCTCAAACTACGGCCTGTGGGCCATATGCGGCCCGCCAAGGACATTTATCCGGCCCCGCCGAGTGTTTTTGCCCCATTTGTTTTTTACCTTCAAAATAAGATATGTGCAGTGTGCACAGGAATCTGTTCATAGTTTTTTTACACACTATATTCCAGCCCTCCAACGGGTCTGAGGGACCGTGAACTGGCCCCCTGTTGAAAAAGTTTGAGGACCCCTGACATAGACCATCATACATCAAACACAGAAGATCCACACAAATGTCCTGAGAGAAACTGAGGAGTTAAAATAAGGGCGATGGGGGTCAGAATGGGTTTGCAATTCTAAAGAGTGTCTCTGGAATGGAGAGCAGAGAGCAATGATCTCAAAAATCCTCAGCAGGAAAAAGCGGACTGCAACCCCACCACTACCATCGAATACACAATTTTTAAAAAGGAAGACCACAAAAAAAAATAAAATAAAGGGGGGTGGGGAATCTGTGGTCTAGAATTGCAAGCATCCAGATCAATACAGAGTGAGGACAGTGTGACAACATGCAAGGTCTCCAAACTGTAAGGCCTACCCTCTGTGCACCACTATCTGGTGCGCTCCCCCCAAAAGAAGGAAACTATCCAGCAATGAGGCTGATACAGCACAGGCAAACACACAGCAGGGAGAAGGTAAGAGAGGCCCATGGATGATGGGATAACAGAAAGGTGGAGGCAGTTATCTTTTGCAGACAGGTCCAAGTGTTGGAAATGCAAGCTTTCAGCACAGCAATTACTACTCTATCAGAATCCTGGTAGTGCTATTTGACAACACACAAATAAAACACTGAGAAAATAACCGGAAGAGAAGCAGTGTGAACATTCCTTAAACAAGCCCCAAGGCACACTGTTTCACCTTTTCCACCCATCCAACCAATTAGTCAGAAAATGGTAAGGTGGCCCAGACAAATGAGGGCATTGTCACAAACAGAGAACATCTCTTCTCTCGGAGTAAATAGAAGAACACAGTCAACAGGGCTGATGACCCCTTCTCATCCCCAAGGTAGCTCTCTAATTTACTTATCCCGAGAACAACTCATTCTAATGTGCTTTTTTAAAAAAATAGCATTTCAGGACACACTAGTTACAGGCAGTTTTGACTCTGCCAGATTTAACTGAGTTTCCATTTCAAAAGTCCCTCTGCTTGAATGGAAACTCTAGCCATGGGACCCATGTTCAATGTTCCTGCAGTAACCCTGTTAGACATGAAACCTCGTTTGTGTTGCTCTCTCAATAAAGGACGATGACACAGAGGGCCAGGTACCACAGCTAACCTTCAACGTTTAAAGGATGACCTGAGTCAACATGAGGCAGCCCACTTCTGCCTCTCAAGCCTTCATCCCAAGCCCACATCCCACCTCACTGAAACAACAGAACACAGAAGCAGCCTGAGCCTTCCTTTGTAATACCAATGGCTTTTGTGCAAAAAAAGAGAAAAAGTCAAGCACACCAGCCTGCGTGATCACAAGATGCCAAAGGGATCAGTGATCAGACATCAAAGAATCATATCATATCATTGTGTGCTCACCTCCCTGATACGATTGCTGAAGACAAATGGGTGCATAAGCAAATGTGGCAAAGAAAGCTGATGGTGCCCAGCTATCAAAATGTATAGTGTCTGGGGTCTTAAA